AAGCACAAGCCCTATTTGGTTGTCCTCTTTACATGTGGATGAATATCTTAGGTAAAATGATGGAAGTGGGAGTATGAAATTTGAAACTTGGTGATTGTTTTGAAATATGATGATTAAAAGATGTAGTTGATTGTTTTGGAACATTGTCTTATTGATTAAAAGATGTAGTTGATTGTTTATTGTTTTTCTTATTAAAACATGTTAATGGTTTTTCTGTACACTAACCAATGATGCCTAAAAATATCATTTTTTCTTTCTTTTAAACTTGAGAATATAACTTTAATTTCTTTTCAACACTGATAATTACTTTTTTCCCTTCACTTTCTTTTCCTAAGCTTTAAAACTTGAGAACAAAATGTAAATGTATAATTACAATTAAGTTGTAATGTAACTTAATGTTCATTTTTTAATATCCGATTTAACAATAGTGAAATAACTTGTATAATTTACACCATAAGCATCACCCCTTCTCATGGTGGCCAAATATCAAAGCGGGAAGCTCTTGGTATTATTCTTACATAAAATTATGGCATCGATTTATTTTAAAATCTTGAAAATTTATGTCCACAAATGATTTTATCATTTCATGTCATGTGCTTCACTATTTCTAAACCCATCCCACATTTGGGTAAATCTCTTTGAAAATGATTTGTTGTGAATGCAAATTTATAATGGAAGGCAAGCACTAGTGCAAATATTTTCCAAAAGTTCATAGAGAAATGGTCATAAATTGTCAACTTTTTAATCAATAGTTATGAAGATTTTTTTGTTTTTGTTCAAAACAATGATGGTGCCTCCTCTCACATGTATCATTCATTCATTCTAATGAAATGGTTCGTAATAAATTGTGAACTTTCTTGCATTTTCCTGTCAAGTGAAAGGCTTGATTATTGATGGAAAGAATAAAAAAGATGTGTTTGTGTAATGAATAAAACTCCATTACCTTTCATAGGCCGACATAAATCGCACGCCCAATAGGCCTTTCTCTTTTGATGGGTGTTGGATATTCTTTGAAAATGAATGCGCCACTATTTATTGCATGCTACTACTCCATACGTCTAGTGAATAAATATTTACATGAAGTTTGTCTAATAAGTCAAAGATTAAAAATGATTTGTATATTTAAGTCAAATGAGACTTTTGAATATAAATTTTCAGAATAATTTTGTCTCTATTATTATAAACTTTCATCAGTAAATATTCAATGAATAAAACCGATCAAATCCAATATTCAGTTGAATCGGTTGTTAAGTTGGTCATAACTAATAGCTAATTGGATTTAACCATTTGATTTGATATTTTGATAAGAGTCTTAGAGATGTTGTCTTTTGAACATAATCTCTACGTAAAGCTTCTACATCTTCAAATGTACTATTTGGTTGATCTAGTTAGAATAAATTAGATCCATGGTTTTTGAGAATTCTATTTTCTAACATTTTTTTTTTTTTATTTCAACTGTATTTTATTATTGCTTAAAATTCTTTCAAGTACTACCAATTCTTTCAAGGACCATCACCATCACATATCATTAACAACCAAACGATACCAGACTTAGTAATATACATCTTCTTCTTCAACATGAAAAAATCTAGATACGAAATCTGACTCATTATCGATCTGTATGTGACTCCAAAAAGCTTTTGGTGTTAAAAGTCATATCCTTAATCTTTTTCCTCTTTCTCGTTTATGCTTTCTCAAGGTCTTAAACTCGTAATTAATATGATCATTAGTAAGGATGTTGATGCAGCTTTAAAGCACACATTTATCTGAAAAAGTAGTAGTTTTGGATACTCGTATGGACTGTTGGATCGGTTATGGGGTGTCTGGCTTTTATGCTTTTAATAGTGAATGTGAATGAGATTTGATTTGGTATGTTTTCTTGTGAAATAAGATCCACTAACAATTTTGTTGCCACATGATTGTCCAAGTGACCTCTACACTTTTTGTTTATATTTCCACATGTCTGTGTTTATACCATTAGATTATCAACTATGTATGTTCTGATTTTAAGTTTGTTCCATTAAAGTTTAAGTTAACACATAAGCAATACTTCGAATTTTACCACTTTGGAATAGTAATGACTGATGTGTTTTTGTTTCATCATTTTCCATTGGGAGGTGATTCGTACACAACATTTTTTATCTATACATAACAATTTGTGCTTTAAAATATTGTATTGTACAACTTTATAAAACATTAATCGTTGTGTATGGAAAAATTTGTTTTGTACAAATCACTTCCCTTGTCCAATTGGCTTTATTCTACATTCCGGTTTAGATATTTAGGCCTAGATTCGGTCACCATCTAAATCAAATAGTTAGGGGTCGTTGAGGTGACATGGATGGAGGGATACCTTCATCCCATCAACCCCTCCCAAAATGTAGTTACAACATCACTTCCAAATCAATAAGGTTGTCACCAATCACCACCCCCATTTTGCAACCACTATGGATGTTCTACAATTTGGTTTAATTAGTTTCATTTTGTTAGGTTTTTAACATTTCTAAATGAATTGTAACCAAACTAAATAATGTGAATTTCAATAATTTAATTAGTTATGGGTTATTCAGCTTTGAGTATCTTAATGCGGTTAACAACGTAAAATAAATAAAATTTAAATTTTAGAAATTTTCCTTGAATAAAAAAGATGTGGAACAAACCAAAATGTGCACCAATTATAACATTAGATTCGAAATATGTTATTGTTTGCCATGAAAAATCTTGGAAGATCATATTTTTGATAGTATTCAGATGAATTCTTTTAATTGATTCGTTCATAGAAAACATAAACCAAATTAGGATCTTTGGCTTCAAACCCACTTATGACTATCACTTTGTAATATCATTTTACCTAGAATCTTGTTAGTTAATATATCCATCCGTTTGAAAAAAATTATAACATTAATGTAGTACTAAAAACACATATCTAACATTAGAAAATTTATAGAGTAAAATTAGACACATATCTTTATAATTTGCAAGATATGTGACAACTTACAAAGTAAATTTCATCCCTACTTTATATTTAAACAATAGATAGTTACAAAGTAAATTTCATAGCCACACAAATTGAGTTACTTGAAAAACATGGTTGTGCATGAACAACCTTCTTCCTTTTCTTCCCATCACCAAATCCCAATCACTTTAAAAACACGGTTACACAAACTTAGATCAAGTTACCATCTAAATTAAGAAAGATACAAAGCCTTAAATCCAATTACTTAGCCCTAGATCCGGACACCATGGACATGGATTTGGGGATGGTGGTCCACAACGAATATGAAGTTAACGGTTAGGAAGGGAATAAAGAAGACATATACACGGTTTATCCTCTTCAAACTAGGACCACCTCACCATGTTTGGTTCTTCCTCGGTTTAATCACCAGATTTGCTAACAGTTTTTTCCCCCCTCTATAAGTGGTTTGCCTTTATTGCTAACTCATGGTTAAAAAAACTAGTTTGGATTAGTCCAACATGGTATGTCCAACAACAAGCAGTGATACAAATCTTTCTCATATTGACAACACCTCCCTAAATGTATTCTCTAGATACTTGGTTAACCGAAGGGGCTTTCATTGCACCGATCAACAACTCCACATTAGAGGTTCAATAGACTCTCTAGTCGACCGGTTCAAGCTAAACTCTCTTGTTTGGTCATTGGAACAAATTGCAGGAGGTCAAAGTCAAAGTCAAACTATGCTAATGGATTTAATATGGATAAAAAGACTAACCATGCAGTAAAAATAAACCCTAAGAATTGCTCCTAAAAAATAATACTACTTAGACTAAAGTTGAAATTTTGAAGGGACCAAGAATACATTCTTGTGTATTTTAAAGTACCAAGTCAAACTTGTTTCACGGTTTAAATGCTAATCTCACTCGCCATTCGCTAATATATCTGTTGGGATTCGATTTCCTATATCTACGCGGTTACCTCATTTCTCTCATCCACCCTCCATATATTTGCTTTCAATTCACGCTTCAATTTTTTCACTCCTAGATCTGCATTCAATCATCTGTTCTTCAACAAATTCACACACTACACAAGCAGCATCAGCAACAATGGTGGCCAAAAGGTTCATTTCTTTATTGGCTTTCACACTTCTGTTTACTCTCTCTGTTTCTTCAGATCCAGCCGGAGTTTCGCCGTCTCCTGCTCCACAAAGCGGTTCCGATGATCAACCTATAATTCCATCTCCATCTCCATCTCCTTCAACCGGTTCTCCACCAGCACCTCCGCCGTCTTCAGATCTGGCTCCCACTCCTACTTCCACTCTGCCACCCGCTACGTCTGCACCTCCAGCGATATCTCCGGCACCGGAAACGGCGGATGATAATGATCTGTCCTCTGCCAATGTGAAAAGCGAGGAATCGAATAAATCTTCGTCAGGAGGGATGAGCGGCGGGAAGAAGGCCGGGATTGCGATCGGAGTAATCGCTGCCGCGTGTGTTGTCGGATTTGGAGGATTGCTGTACAAGAAACGCCAACAGAACATCCGGCGAGCAGAATTCAGCTCCGCCGCAAGAAGAGAGTTCCTCTAAAGTTCGAATCTGGCCACATCATCATCATCTAGATCTAGATCTATACAAAGGTGGACATTATCTCATTATCACATTATCACATTATCATTATACATTATGCTGTAAATTTCATTCAGATCTTGTGGATCCATTCGTTTGATTCTTTACATACTAGTTACTTCCGAATTCTACCTTCTGAGTTCTGATTTTTAGCGTATTATTCATTGTAACTTAACTTGATCTGATCGAGCTGTTATCTACACTTATTATCAATCTAGAGGATTGAATTTCTTATCAATATTCGTCTAACATACCTCTTGAATCATTGTCAATAAATCAAATTGTCATAAATCATAATACTTTGTTGTTCAGTATACAGAACATTCTTTCCTCTTTTTTTCCTATCTCTACTAACATTGCAGGATCACGACAATCCAAATTTCCAACTTTCTCTTCAATTCTGCAACTTGATACTAAACCTAGCTTCCTCTGCGATTTGTATTCCCAATTTCAATATCACGAGCATGAGAAGATGATGAAGAAGAAGAAGATGCAGTTTGGAATTGGATGCGCCTTGATTCTGGACGCAAAACAATCTGGGAATTCATTTGTTGATCTGATCTACTATGCCATCTGTTTCTAAATCTTAGAATCTCAACAATAATCGAACTACCACTCATTGCAACCCCACATCCTGCAAATGTTGCAAGAAGAATCGACAAAACTGGCTGAACATGAACCTGAAACATGAACATGAACACCATTAAATACACAGTGAATCCAAATTATGCAATTGAGCTTCTTAGTTCTTACCACAGAGTAGAAAATATGGGCGAAGATTACTACGAAAGCAAACTGAACTGAAGCATATAGCCAAACAAATCTTTTTTTCACTGTAAACAGATCAAGATCTTTGAGTCAGAAATTGCAAACACCAAGAACACAATGAATCGATATCTGAATTATTACCCATTGTTGATGATGTCATGGATGAAAGAAGACCCAAAACACATGAAAAGGGAAGAGAAAGTGCAATTGCACTCGTACCCATGTCACCAACCTTAATAAACAAACTAAATTTATGAATATTTCATGGTTTAGATACTAAATTGTGTAATGATATTGAGTCTTACTTACCAGTAGTTGCTCGATGAAACAGAAATATGCCAACATGCTGACAATAACAAGAATTGGCACTTCTTGCCATACGCGATACACATCACTGCCAAATTCAAGATACACGTTAGATTTAGTTAAGTCTTGTATACATCAAAGTTTGTTTCTTTTCTAAAATGAATTAAAAAGGACAATTAGTAAAAATGTTAGTGTCTCAATGCATTAAGCCAATTTTTTTGGCTTGACACATTAAGTTATTTTATCCGTTAAAGTTAAAAAGAAAAGAAAACCATGTATAGTTGTTGAGATTAAGTGCTTAACCCATTAAGTAAAAAAGATAGAGTGCTTTATAAAATTGAAGTGGTAAAATTTTCATGAACTTGCCCGTATCCGTCTACTTCCATGGGGTTTGGTCTACTTGAAACATTGTTTCGGTTTCTGACAACGCTTTGAATCCTTAAAAGGGTAACGGGTAAGTTTTGGACATCTTGATGGCATACGTCGCACGTTTTGTTCCCTTTGATGCTAAACCATTTTACAGCACAATCTTTATGAGCCAATGCGAGTTCGCCTTTGCAACTACATTCCATTTTTAGGGTTTCTCCACCTTCGCATAATTCAACCAAACATATCCTACAAACAGCTTCTTCTTCTGGTATATCCTCACCATCTCCTTCTTCATTATCTAAAAACAAATCAAACAAATAAGGCTCAAAGATTCAAGATGATCGTGTAAGTTTGTGAAATGATGGAAATACCCTTGTCACGAGCTGGAGAAGGGACCGGTGAAACGGTGTTGAAGTCTTTCACTCGTGGGGTTGAAGGTATCACACGGAAAAAAGAATCCATTCTTTTGATTGTTATATCTTCATTGAGGACCGGGACTGATCGTGACCGCGCTATATGCACTTGAACTTTAGTCTACAAATAATCACATGTTAAAAGATTATAATTTTATCTATAAAAATGTTATTTTTCCATCAATCAAATCATGTATAGAATGGCCCATTAGAAGGGCTATTGTCTACATGGAGCCCAAACTACATTGAAATTTAAACTCCTATGTGTGTTGGTTCTTGGGAATTTGGACTTAAACCCTTTACTTTTTCTGTAAACCATTGTGAAACCAAATGTAACTTTTTACAAGCAAACATACCTCCAAATTAAGGGAACCACCCGAGTTGCCCAATACAGATTGAGCAACTGGGGTGACCGGTAGAGAAGATGTCCTTTGAGGGCCAAAGATTTTGGAAAGAGACCATGATCTTGGGATTGAAGGCTTCTCTTGTGGTACGGAAGACGAGACCGATGGAATTACATTTCTATCGGTCTTTTCTGTATCCGGAATTGTATTCCGGTTCATAAATTTTGGTAGTAAACTTTTCTTCGAAGATTTGGATCTTGATGAGAAAGTAGTGGGAGCTCCATTTGCTTTAACATCCGAAGGACTTTGTGTGAGATTGAAATATACTTTCTTAGGAGTCGGAATCGTTGTTTGGCCAATCTTGATCTGAACAGATTCTTGTGATGAAGAAGCTTGTGGTGTTCTTGATGGAATTTCCAAGAACAAATTTTGCTTTTTCCAATTTTTCCCATTTGGTGTTTCCGTATTTTTAGTAGAAATATCTTCTTCTCCCTGAAGACAGTCAAGAAAATTTATCAAAACGAACAAATAAAATTTGTGTTCTTTAGTTAATTTGCAAGTTTTTGGTTATTAATAATATTTACATGGTTTTAAGTTGATTAGAGGTTTACTATTAGGTTTGAGATGTTGCATAGAAAACACATTGTAATGATAAGGATTGATAAGTGGGAATTAAAGTTATAATCAAAAGCAATATTACTTTTTGCATATAAACAAAGATTAACCTTTTGTACTTGCTTTTATTCCATAATATAAGGGAGTTTTCACCAAATATTGTTAGTAAAAAACAAATGTCGTTTAGCATACGAATAATGATTAGAATTTGGGTCATTTTTTGTAGCAAGAAACGTAATGATTTCATTGTCTTTTAGGATAAATCATTAGTTGCGAAATCATGTTGAATTAAAGCAACCATCATGAGGGATACAACTCTTGTAAGCTAAGTTGCGATCATGAAAAATTGAGTGACAGAAAGGTTTTAATATTTTTTTTTTTTTTGTAAAATAAAGTAAATTTTTTTTCATGAGAAAGTGTTTTTGGTCCAAAACTACTTTTAATAAAAGCATGAATTTTTTGTTCCTCAAAAACATTCTCTAAAATGAATCTGCAAAAGTGATATGACTTTAACAAAGGTTACAAATTCAAATCACATAGCATTGAAATTACATAATGAACCCAATTTCATTTTTAATTCTTTAATCTAAAAAGTAGGCAAACTTTCAAACTGACCAACATCAAATTTCTTTATGAAAAAACAAAGAAATAATTATAATTTACAATGTGTATACACAATTAAACATATATGAGCACAAATTTTGTTTCTACAAGATTATAATCAACAACATATATGAGCACAAATTTTGTTTCTACGAGATTATAATCAACATGAAGTTCAATGAAGTGATATGACAAAGAAAGATACCCACTTGCTAAAAACTTGAAAAGATCATAACTTGATCAAAAAATATTTGAATTAAGGTAGACCCATAATGCATTTGAATAAATTAAAAGAGAGCAATATCAAGAACAAATCAATGAAGAGAAAAGAAAACAAGGGAAGAAAATGAAAACCAGCCTTTTGAATAGGTATGTCAACTTCTTTACTTTGAGATGAAGTTGAATCATGCCCTTCTGATACAAACATGATACTTTTGTTATTATTCTCTTGAGAGCTCATGGTTTCATGAAGCAATTTGTGATGGGTTTTGATCTTTATTGAAAACCCCGAATTTGAAAGCGAAAATCTTGAAGAAAAATGTTGAAGATGAAGGGGAAGGTAAAGAAAAGAAGGGTCTTTAATGGCAGAAAATCATGGGGATGATATGGTGGTGTCATTTAAAACACTCTTTATCTCTCTCACACACATACACAAAATAGAGGAATGGGCCTACTTCAGTCCTCATCTCCTTATTTGTTTTGTGGTTTTCTTGAAATTAGTCATTCCACTCTCACCCACCCTCACCCCACCCACCCCTTCTTTTCTTCCCTTTTATCACTCGAGTTCATCACGACTTTTGAAATTTGATTATGATGTCACAATAGCTTATTTGAGAATGTTGTTGATGTTATTTTCTTTTTAACTAAACAAACATGACATGGGGGACTCCTTTGTAACCATACGTTTCTTTTTAGTAATATGTGTAGAGTAAGCGAGACTTATCTTAATTTGTTTGGAGTCTTTCTAATTATTACTTTGTTTATTTTGAAATTATAAAACCAGAACAATATATAACAACTATAAATGTTGTTACTACTATAAATAATGATCTACAAATAAATGACAACATACATCAATTCGACGGTATGGGTCTATTTATGGATTTCAATTATTTTAGTTTAGTTACATCATGCTCTTGAAACTTTTGTCTATATGTTCTAATTTTGTTGGTGATATATTTTGGAGATAGATCCACGTTTGTTACTATTAAGTATTAGGCGAATATAGTTACGCATTATAAAATAATATAAATTAACAAATATATGCTATAAGATATAACAATTTTGTTTTCATCAATTTTGAAATTACAATTCTTATGTTAATTGGTTATAAACCTTTGTAATTATTTTAAATATACGATAAGATAAATACATATTCAAATCACATCATCTCAATAGTTTTTATCAAAGTTGTCAATATTGGAGTCCTACGTAGTATCATTTTTAGGTTTACAAGATTGGAATCGGGATCCTAAGATCCCTCAAAATAAAATATAATTTTAAACCATGGAAACTATTTCAACCATTCTATTTTTCGTTCAAAAGTTATAAAAACTTTAAAATATTAGCCATGAATCACAACACAAAATGATAAATGGTAAATTGGTAAATGGTAAAAAGACATAAAGAAATTAAAAAAAAAACATTTAAAAAAATCAAGGGAAAGTAGGATCGGATCGGATCACGATCCTACGATCTTACCCAAAATACGATCAATTTACGATCCGACCCGTTTTTCATATCTAAAATTGTCTTACGACCCTATGATCATGATCACGATTTTGATAATCATAGTCTTTATCAACAGATGCGAATGATAATAAATAATTAAATTTGGGTTTGTTGTTATTTATAAATATTAATTATGATTAATCAATTTTAATAGATAAATTTATGATTATATCATCTCAACGATTAATTAAATAAAATAGCATTTGTTTTGGAAAATTTATCATTTTTTTGTCTTTATTATTAGTTTCGAATGTTGACTTATGTTTTACATTCAATATTACTATTGATTAAAAAGATTTGAATATATATTTAATTTTAAATCTAACGAATATTTAACTATTTATTAAGTTTTTTTATTGATTTGTTTATTTTTCAGTTTGATTTTATTTGTGAGTAATATTAAATTTAATTAATAAAAAACGTTTTTAGAAAATAAACAATACTTTTTGGTAAATTTTTTTTTATAACTTTAACCTTCTAATCTAGGTTTTAAAAGTTAAGTATATCAGATTAATAATTATAAAGTGGAAGAATTAAAAATTAAATTTTTATATCTATTTTAAATTAATTAATTAAACATATTCGTTGAAACAAAGTTAACAGAAATTAGAATAATAAATAAGTTTACTGTATTAACTAAAAATAAAATTAAAAAGTGTTAGGAGTTTTAGATGAGTGTAGTTTAAGTATTGTCATGATTGACCTTTTATATTAGTCGAATGCACATTGTTACAATTAATCATATCAGTGACATTAATTATGAAATAATAATTTTTATGTTTAATTGATTTATGAGATTATAAGAAAAACCTTTATTAGAATCATATAACGCAATATTTTCTACTTATGACTTGCACATGAATAAAATTATTTGTAACATTTGATTTGTTGTTACGTTTAACTATTGTTATGATTGCTTAATTTAAAAATTGCTTATTTGATCATTTTATACTTCATATCATGATGATTATGTAAAACTAGACGAACATTTGCGTGTTGCATAAAATAAAACTATATAGTTATTTTTTTTTGCATATGAATGTTGAAAATAATAAGACATTAACTATAAAATAATATCTCTTACATTAAGTTGATATACAAAATTTTAATTATTTTAAATTATATTATAAAATATACATCTATCAGAATCATATTATTCAATATTATCTACTCTCGGTTTACATTTAAATAAAATTAAACATGGTTTCAATTTATTATTACAATTTAATGTTATGACTGATTGGTTTAGAAATTACTTATCTATCATTTGCTTTTTAAATTTCAATCATAATGGTTAATTGATAAATGAAATATTATTTGTAACTTAACCCAAAGTACTTTTTTACGTTAGTTAATTAAAAACAAATTATTTGAAAAAACTTACAATAAAAAATAGTTTTTGATATTTTTATTTAATTTGAGTTGTCTTTCTACATTTAATATTTAACCATTTAAACTATTTAACTTGAGGTGTTTAAAATGGAATTTCCAAACAGTGTACATTTATACCAAACAGATCCTACCTCGGATTGATCTTACCTCATCATCCTTATCATTTATAAAATCAGTATCCGTCTGGGATTATTGATAAATCTAAATTTCTATTATTTTAGTCGCGAATGATATAAGGGATAATTGAAACTTAGTAATATCCGTATTCATGTCGTTTTTAAAAGGGAAAAACTAAAGCGTTAGACAAGGAGCTAACTTTCCCTCGAATCTTCCACCCCAATCAGGTGTGTGCATAGTTACTTTTATGGACATGATTTTAATACAAGTATTTGTTAACAATATCAAACATTTGTCGAAAGTTTATATGTGAATTATATGGTTATTATCTTGAATATGTGTTAAATATATATTTGGTAATATTTACACTATACAAACCATATAAGATTATATCTATGTTAAAATAAGTATTTGGTAATACTACTGACTATCTTAAAATAAGTATATTTACTTAAGAATATTAAATGTACACCAAATACTTACCGTTTTTAACTTTTTACTAATTGTATACTTGTATTATGATAAGTATTTTCCTAAATCAAGAATCGTATTGGAAATTGATTATAGGTTTAATGGCCATGTCTAGTTACAAATTAAGACTCATATCAGATACTTAATTCTAAATAAATTGAATAAGTGCTTAGCTATACTAGGTAATGCGGTAGTATTATATAATCACGAAAACGACTATTGAAGTTAATTATAGGCATTATAGTCTTGCCTAGTGTCAAAATAAGACTTATAAATGATGTTTAGTTTGAAGTAAGTTGAATAAGTGCTTAGCTATATCCTGTATCGTAAATGATATTACATAAACATGAAATATGTATTAAAGGTTGGTTACTTATAGTCTGGTCTAGTTATATTCAAAGACTTATAAGAAATGACTAGCTCAAATAAGTTGGATATTGGGTAGTCTCATTCTGGTCGATGTCGTGATGAGATGGGAGGTTCTGAGGTCTCCATATGAGATTCAGAGTTTCCTTGGGTTGGCAGGTTAATATCGGAGATTCATTTAGGATTTCTTCAAGATAGCGGTTCCTTTGACTCGGTTGACAAAGAAGACTGCCACTTTTTGTTAGGGGCCTGAGCAGCATGCCACTTTTGAGACCCTGAGGCAGAGGTGGTGTGATGCACCGATTTTGACCCTCCTGGAGGATCTTGAGGACTTCGTGGTTTATTGTGATGCGTCGATCATGGGTTTGGGTGCAGTTCTGATGTAGAGGAGTTGCGTGATCGCTTACGCTTCGAGGCAGTTGAAGCCTCATGAGGCGAATTCTACAACACATGATTTGAAGTTGGGGGCTGTGGCTTTTGCCCTCAAGATTTGGCAACATTACTTCTATCAGGCCTGTTGTACCATGTACACAAATCATAAGAGCCTAAGGCATCTGATGAATCAGCCGAATATGAATATGAGACAACGTCGGTGGTTGGATGTGCTGAAAGATTATAATTGTGAGATCCTTTACCATCCGCGGAAAGCTAATGTAGTGGACGATGCTCTTAGCCTCAAGGTGGTCACAACTTCGATCAAGGATATTTGTTTGAGGATGACCATGATTACTCCACTTTTGGAGCGGATCAGTGAGGCTCAGATTAAGTCTATGAAGGAAGTGCACCAAAAGAGTGAGTCCATAGTGTGTCAGGTGACCTCCTTTTATTATGATAGCTGAGGGTTATTGACTCTTCATCGGAGAGTATGGGTTCTGTATTGGAGTAGTGTGTGTCAGGTTATGATGAAGGAGGCACACACATCGAAGTTCTCCATCCATCCCGGGGCGAAGAAGATGAATAGAGATCTTCATCCTGATTATTGGTGGCCCTACATGAAGTAGGGTGTAGCTTGGTATATGGAGATGTGCTTGACTTGCAGGAAAGTTAATGCTGAGCATCAGCAACCTCACTGAAAGATGCAACCATTGGATATTCTTGTTTGGAAATGAGAGGAGATTACCATGGATTTTAATACGAAGTTGCCTCGAACTGCACACGAAGTGGATTCAATTTGGATCATCGTGGATCGATTGACCAAGAGCGTGCATTTTATTCCGATCCAGGAGAGTATCTCTGTGGAGAAGTTGGATGGGGTATACATCAGGGAGGTCGTAGCACGAGATGGGGTGCCGGTTTTGGTGGTTTCAAACAAGGACGTCCGGTTTACTTACAGATGTCAGAAGAGGTTCCACGATGAGTTGGGTACTTGTCTCCATTTCAGTA